GGATGAGGTTATAAATGCAGAGTTCACAGATGGAAACATTAACCAAAAAGCATTGACCGGAGCAGTTTAGTCGAACGCGGCCGACCATATCATACCCTACACAACTACTACAAAAATTTCTGTAGTTTTATATTTTGAGCCTGGTCAATATTTCGCCATAAAATACAAATTTGTTTATTTTAGATTTTGGATGATTTGATCCTCGGAATATTGACCGGCGTTATAAGTATTTTGTCAGATCCTCTTCAATGTGTAAAAAATGTGATATTGTGCATAAATAATGGCCTCTAGAGCGACTAGGAAACCTGACAAATAATGCACCCATTAAGTGTTATCTTAACACAACCGAAAAATGATTGGTGTTGTCCTTGACCATAACCGGAACTTCATGTAAAATTTCAAAGCGGCCAACGCAATATTTCCGCCCTCTAGTGGGGTAATAGTAATACAAAAACAATATCATAACACATAGACACTTTAAATATTTACGTATAACTCCCACATACGAGAACACATAACAATATAATTGGCTCATATTATATACTCTCAACATCTCGAGTCTATGTTCTTTAGAAGTGAATAGCCGTAGTATAGAAATTTTATTTCATGTTCATTATCAAAGGATACCAATAATAATTCTCAGACTAGCCTATCAGCCTTTTATAGAACACCAGATTTCTGAACTAATTCCGCTTTTTTCAACAATCAATTAGTGTCCGTTTTATAGCTTCTAATCAAAGAACAAGTTTAACATTTTTGTTCTTAAAAATTCGAATATCTATTATATTCAATGGTCTACAATAATCAAGAAACAAATTGATGATGACTCCTTATGCAATTTTTTCACAAGCAAATGGCTTCAACAAACGGCCACCAAAGACAAATTCGATTTTCTCAGAAAACAAAAACAAATTTCAAAAATTGAACGTTACATTCAAAAAATTCTGACATTGATTACTGATGAAGACGAATAAAACAAAACAACACACACACACTCATACAGAAAATTATCGATTATGCAACATGTGGCAGATGGACAGAAGTTACACATGTCCGTTCTATACAACGTTTCAAAAGAAATAAACAGCAAAGTGAATACCACAAAAATTGCAATGGAACAAGTTGAGAAAAACCAACGAAAAAATAAATACCAACATCAGCAGCAGAAGTACAAATCCCCTCCAAAATATGAAGCTCCAAATAAATAAACCTTTCATTAACGAAAAGTCACCAAAAATAACCTCTGATGATAAACAAAAAAACCGAAGACAACAACAAGTTTATTTTTGGTGAAGACAAAAAAAAAACAACAACATGGAATGAGATGATGTTGAAGATCACCTTGAATACGATGATGAAGTTAAAAATCAGAGAGCCAAAACCGAAAATAAAAACCACAGACGAACACCTGAAGAGAGTTAAGAAAATATGTGGTACATCGAATGAAAACGAAAGTGATCGTGTTTCGGTATTGTGGTTCAAACAAACAAAAAAATACGATCCACAAACAGAGGTTACAAGCCATACAACTTGGCTTGCATGGTTGTTGGTTCAAACCAGCGAACACAGACACTTTTACTTATGTGTTTGTGATAAGACTGGGGTAAACTATATACAGTAGCAATCCAACTATAAAATGGAATCTTAGCACAGAGAATAAATGTTTGGAGGGATTTGACAACAACAAAAGAAAAACAATTGCAATAAACTGAGCAAAGCCTTTTTGAATGTTGCCATATTGTTCGGTATTATGTAATAGAGGAATTTTGTGGTGTATTATACAGACTAATATAAATTGAAGGCAAAAAGTCTTCTATAGGCGTTTTGATATATTATTAAGGCCATAGGAGACATTTTATAGGTGTTCAGGTATTCTGAACATAGAATATACTTCCTATAGGTATTGTTAGTAAGGAATACCTTCTAACCTTTATAGATATAAGATATTTTGGCAGAGTGGGGACTTCCTATAGGTTTGTTATAGCCAGAAGACCTTCTGTCTATGGAATCAGATGATTATTTTCTTATATAATCTACATGAAAAAAAAAATCTGCTTTGAAAAGGACTGTTCCTAGAATGAAGACAAATGTCGAACATTGACAAATTTGAATTTAATTCGCATATGTAAGTTTCGCATCAGGGCGGAATAAATACAAGTTATCAACGTACGACCTTTGTAAAGCCACATAGCCCAATATGCCTGATGAGCCGCTTAACCAACGGCGAAACGCGTCGCATAATGGTGGGTACGTAGGTTCTTCTCCTGGCTTTCCTTTTCATTGCAAAACATAGATCATCATGCTCGACTCGAGAGAGTATAAATAATCACTTAAAATAATCTACATGACTTCGTATGTATACCTAAGAAAATACCTTCCTTAGGTATACTGAGGAGAGCATAGATTTCAAATATTCTTTCCAGAACATGTTTTTTATTATTTTTTCTTTCTGGGAGTTGAGGAAATTTTTTGAAGATCCAGTAGAGCCATAGTATGGCATTTTTTTCAGAAAAATATTTCTGGGATTAGCGGAACCACAAGTTGGGATTATTTAAGAATATTTTCAAGATGAATATATTGTCAAGAATAAGCAGACCCGGATGAGTTGTATGCGTGGTATTTCTTCAAGGCCCAACCATAGGTTTAGACAAGGTATTATGTCTTTGTGCATATGTTTGTAACAGGCAAAAGGAAACGAGATAGAAACATGGTTCCTTTTGAGAATAATCATAGAATTACTTTTTCAGTCGATTTATGCATATCCGTCCGTCTGTCTACCCATGCTAAATTGTAAACAAAGTACAGGTCGCATTTTTGATTCGAATTAGATGAAATTTAGCACAGCTTATTTATTTAGCTCAAGGACGAACTCTATTGAAATTGGGAAAAATTGGTTCAGATTTAGATATAGCTCCCATAAATTTTTTCATCCGATTTCATTTAAATTGTGCACCAATATATATCTATATATCTTTCGATTTCCACTAAATAACGTCTAGAACGATGTGTGTTAAATTTCGTGGAAATCGGTTCAGATTTAGATATAGCTCCCATATATTTTCGTCCGATTTTATGTAAATGGTGCACCGATATCCCTATATATATCCTTGGATTTGCACGAAATTTGGCATAGCGTACTGAATTAAATCTAGAACGATGTGTGTTAAATTTCGTGATAATCGGTTCCGATTTAGATATAGCCCCCATATATTTTCGTTCAATTTTAGGTAAATATTCCACTAAAGTCCCTTTATATGCTTCGATTTATACGAAATTTGGCATAGCGTACTGAATTGAGTCTAGAATGATGAGTGGCGAGTTTCGGGAAAATAGATTCAGATTTAGATATAGCTCCCATATATATTCGTCCGATTTTATGTAAATGGTGCACCAGAGTCCCTTTATATCCTTCGATTGGCAAGAAATATTGCATAGCGTATTGAATTAAGTCCAGAATGGTGTGTGGTAAGTTTTGAAATTGGTGCAGATGCAGCGATATCTAAATTTCAAACAGGTGTCCGAATAACGTGTATCAATTTTGCTATAAATCGTTTCACATAAATTTGTCCCATGGTACGCGGACGACTCTAAATCTGCCCAAATGAAATTAAATTTAGCATAGGTTGCAGAAAGACATGAGTATATTCCTTCGAGGGAGCATTGACATGTAATTCTAAGGATACATATGTACAATATATCCAAAGTGGTGAATGGTATCATATACTACTTTCCTTACTGGTTTCTATTTTGCAAAAACAAAAAACAAAACAGTTTTTTAAATATTTAATATTTTTAAGGTTCAACGATTTTTTAAAAAATGTTTCGTTTCGGGAGTTCTTAATAAGGTTTTCGTACAATATACAAGACCTTCCAGAGGTGTTTTAGATGTAGAAGATCTTATATATGTTTCCTGAAGATTGTGCACCTTCTGTAGATTTTCAGGGGATCGAGGTTCTGCTATATGTCTTCTTTTTTATAATTTTTCTGGGGACACACGACCTTGTTGGCTATAAAATATTCGCATCTTTTTTTTCTCGGAATAGGCGAATTCCTGAATGCCTTCAATTGATAGAAGAAATATATTCTAGAAATAGTGGACCCCTTAAATATCTCCTAGAGGTAGTATAAATTCTTCCAGGTATATCTATAGGAACCTAAAAAAGATCTCTCAATCTGGCAACCTTAATTGTTTGTTTGCTCTACGCACATTACAACCCAAGATGATGATTACGATTGCTGAAGGGGTGTTTAAGACATCTTCCACAGAGCAAAGGCAACGAAGACGATGTTGGTTGATGAAACAAAGAAGAAATGAGCGTTGAGCTCCCTCTCCTCCCTTCCTCTTCATTACTATTATTCAATTTTGCTCTTGTTGTTGTTGCTGTAGTTGGTGGCGCTGCCGATTTGTGTTTGTTGGTTTTACTTTTTGGGCCGTTAAGAGTTTCAGCTGTTACGACTTCTTGTACTTACGGTATTTTGATTTTGTTTTGCTTTTATTAACATTGATTGTTGCTGCTGCGGCTGCTAAAGCTTCTGCGCTTCTGCCATTGAGCTACGTTGTGTTATTGTTGTAGTTGTTGTTGTCTTACATTACATTTCGCTGTGTTGTTTTTGTTATTGTTTGCTGCAGCAGCATTTTGGCAATTTTTCGAGTTCGTGATATTTTGGAGCAACCATCGAAATTCAGCCGTCCGTCCGTCCGATGGATGGATGGATCGTCGTCGCCATGGCAAACAAAAGCGACGTAGCTATAAAAGAAACTGATGTTCCAACGAAACGACACAGACATCAGCGAAGTGTACAACAAACCGTTACAACGATCAACAAGACAAGAAACGAAAAACAGTCGAATTAACTAAACGAGGATATATTGCCAATATAGCGTCTGAGTGTGTGTGTGTGCGAGAGAGAGAGACAATTTCCGGTGTTAACAAAGAGTCTGTGTGTGTGCGAACGCGCAAAAGAAATCCTTAAAATATCAAACATTTTTTGGAATTGCAAAAAGAAATAAATTAAAAACAAATATAAAATGAAGCCTTTCTGTGTGGTATGTGTGGCCAAAAAATTAAAAAAAAATTAAAATTATATAAACAAAGAACAAAAAAATATTACAAATTAAAAATAATCAAAAATTATAAAATAAAAAATCCAAAATTAAACAAATATGTGAAATTCCCTTTATTGAAAAAAATGTATTCTGATGTGTATCCTTCTTGTGTGTTTCCCCTTATCCCAAATTAGGTTTTAGTTGTTTTATGCGCTGCTGGTTTGGCTGTGGCCCGACCAGAGCCACCACGTGATAGCTATGCTGCCCCACCTCCAAGCAGTTATGCCCCCAGTGTGCCAAGCGGTAGTTATGGTGCTCCAGCCCCAGTATATGGACCACCACAACAAGCTCCTGTGATACACAAACATGTTTACGTTCATGTTCCACCACCAGAGCCCGAGTATCAAGCACCAAGGTAAGAATTGTGCAACCAACAATAGGATAAAAAAGGATGTGTATTACAAATGGCAACAAATGTTGCATTTTCATTCTCAGGACAAAAAAAAAAAAAATGAAAATTCTGTTGTCAATAGAAAAAAGTGAAAAATTGTAGGAATTTAAAAACTACCAGAATTAGAAATAGAATTTATAGAACTTGGTCGTTAAAACCAAGAAGGGCCAACGATTTTCTCTTTATCTAGCAGCCTACGAGAAATATTCATATAACTTTAGTGCGATAATATATTTAAAAAAATTAATTTTCCGCTATCGGGATCACATAATTGAAATGCAGAAATAATGAGAAACATTTCATTAAGTTCGTCTGGTCAAGCAACAAAAATTCCTAAAATCAGTAGGGACCTTTGCTGCCAGGTTTTTTTATCCTCTGAAAATCTGAATTACAATTTACAGACTCAGTTGCCAACATTAGTCAAGAAAGGACATCTATTGAAAATTGCCTGGGAAGAAATTTTAATCGAACAAGAGCCCGAAATACCAATTTACAACATCTTCGATTGGTAAATACTCCTTAGATTATAAATTGGGTGGGACCATATATATGGTATATATGTCAATAGACAGACATATATAAACAATTTTCGGAGTGTTTGGATCATATCATTATACCTATGAGTCTTAAAAAAACTCACATTTAAAATTCGGAGGGTTCATTAGCACATTACTATAATTGAATTCATAAGTGAATACAACTATATAACAAATTAAAAAAAAAAAATTAAGCATTGTGTTCTAGAAGGCGATCGGTTTGAAAAAAATATATTTTTTTATTTTTTTAATTATATAAGTTAAGCCAGGTTAGTCCTTTATACAATTTATTTCCAAAATCTAGGCCTATATGGTCATTAAAAAATCCTTTTAAAAAACCTACGCCCTGTTGCTCCTCCAAAAAAATCCTTTTAAAAAATCGACGCCTTGTTGGTCCTTCAAAAAATCCTTTTATAAAATCTACGCCTGGTTCGTCCTTCAAAAAATCTACGTTTGGTTGGTCCTTAAAAAAATAATTTAAATAATCTACGCCTAAGTCTAGAGGTCTTTCAATTTTTTTAAATCTTTAATATTTTATTTAATTAAAAATATCTACGTCTCCTTAAAATATTCCTATTAAAAACATTTCGCTTCGTCCTTAAAAATCTCATTTTAAAAATCCACGCCATGTTGGACCAAAAATGGTGTGAGACCATATATATGGGATATATGTCTAAAGATGGGCCTATATAGTAATCGGAGATTTTTCTAAATAAAATCCTAACTTGATCATCGCCCTGATTATTTTATAATGTACCATCAAAATACCTAGAAAGGTCCTTTATATGGTCCTTTACAGTCCATTGGTCGACAAATACGACTAGAATGCTCAAAATACCGCCGACAATTTTAAGCAAATTCAAAACTCCAGCATATTAATTTTTCTATATAAATAAGCAATGATTATAGTCATATGGAACCAACCACGTTAAACCCCACTTCTAGCCCTTGAATTCATTTGTTTTTCATAACTAACATTTGTCCTGCGGTCCAAGTACTGTATTATTGGATCATATAATACGTAGAGTAGAAAATCTGTGACATTTTACGCTGTCTGATTTATAAATTTTCTTTGTGTTTGAATCTTAATTGCTTCAAAAATCCTAAAAAATATTTAACGTCCAAAGAGAAGAAATGAAATCTATGCAAAATTGCAGGGTGATAGTGATGATTTTTTATAAAATCCACTATTCACCCTTCTCTAGTTTCGCTGGACCATATTGGAATGCGATGGAATTTCAATGGAAAAGTATGGGTAACAATGGCATATTTTTACCAGTGAATTGTGTAGGAAATGTCACAAAGATTTGTTTCTATAACATTTTTCGTCTTTAAAAAATCTTCAACATTTGAAACCAAGTGATTTATGCATTTTGTAATAGAATTCTCTATGTTGCTTTTATCAACGATAGAGTCATCAAAGACCTTTCAAAATTATTAATAACTAGGAAATATTAATAAAGGCCCGCGAAATAGTTTGAAAAATCTGTTCACAGCGCTGCAATACTATAATCCCGATAATTTGCATTATTTGTTCCCAATTTATAATGCTTTGGAAACATTTTAATTACATCGATTACATTTTTCAATTAAATAAAATCACATATATTTCACAACTATTTCATCAGATAAAAAATACCTCCTCAAACTATAAAATAAAATATATGACCCATTTAAAATAATATTAAACCGTTTTATTCCCCTCCCCTTTTAAATGATCAAAGCATCCGTGCTCCATGGCTGTCGTAAATAATAAATCATTTTATTCGGCGGTGCATAAAATTACATCTATGTTGCAAACACGATAATGGCTAATCCATTCTGATTTAAAGAGGTTGATCTTTTGTGGCAAAATGTTGTATGCAACAATATTAATATGCGCAATGTGCCACATGCAACAAGCAAATGCTGTTGTTGATGATGACGACAACACCGTTGAGGACAGTGACAAATCGCTAAACAAGAAAAAACTGTGTCAACATGAGTTTAACACAAACAAAAGTGTTGATTATGTTAGGTGGCGGTAGAGAGAGAGAGAAGAAATATAATGTAGGCAGAGTTGGGGATTTTTCTGGCAAAAATTGAGGGGTATAATGTTTAAAGTAAAAAATAATAATAATAAAATCAATATGGTACATAAATTAAAAATTATACGAAATTAATACAACACATTTTCTATGTGGAATAATTTTTTAATATCCACTTGTTTATCCTTCAAAAATCCTTTTAAGAACTCTACGTCTTGTAGGTGCTTCAAAAAGATTCATTTTTAAAAATCTACGTAGGGCCTTCAACAAATTACTTTTAAAAAATATACGACTTGTAGGTCCTTCAAAAAATTCCTCTTGAAAAATCTACTTCTTCTTGGTCCTTCAAAAAATTCCTCTTGATAAATCTATGCCTAGTAGGTCCTTCAAAAAATTCCTCTTGATAAATCTACGCCTAGTAGGTCCTTCAAAAAATTCCTCTTGATAAATTTACGCCTTGCAGGTCCTTCAAAAAATTCCTCTTGATAAATTTACGCTTGCAGGTCCTTCAAAAAATTCCTCTTGATAAATATACGTTTGTAGGTCCTTCAAAAAATTCCTCTTGATGAATCTATGCCTTGTAGGTCCTTCAAAAAATTCCTCTTGATAAACCTACGATTTGTAGTCCTTCAAAAAAATTCCTCTTAATAAATCTACGCCTTGTTGATCTTTCAAAAAATTCCTCTTGATAAATCTACGCCTTGTGGTCCTAGTTGATCTTTCAAAAAATTCCTCTTGATAGATCTACGCCTTGTAGTCCTAGTTGATCTTTCAAAAAATTCCTCTTGATAAATCTACGCCTTGTTGGTCTTTCAAAAAATTTCTCTTGATAAATCTACGCCTTGTAGGTCCTTCAAAAAATTCCTCTTGATAAATCTACGCCTTGTAGGTCCTTCAAAAAATTCCTCTTGATAATTCTACGCCTTGTAGATCCTTCAAAAAATCCCTCTTGAAAAATCTGCGGCTTGTAGGTCTTTCCTTTAAAAAAAATCTATGCCTTGTAGGTCATTAAAAAATTCAATTCAAAATTCAAAAAAATTATTTAAAAACCGCTACACAAGTTGATCCGTCAAAAAATTAATTTTTGAAAATCTACGTCTTGTAGGTCCCTCAAAAAATTCCTGTTGAAAAATCTACGCCTTCTAGGTCCTTCAAAAAATTCATCTTGAAAAATCGACGCCTTCTAGGTCCTTCAAAAAATTCCTCTTGAAAAATCTACGCCTTGTAGGTCTTTCAAAAAATTCCTTTTAAAAAATCTACCCCTAGTAGGTCCTTCAAAAAATTCCTTTTTAAAAATCTACGGCTTTTAGGTCCTTAAAAAATTCCTTCTAAATATATTTGTAAGAAATCCAAAATTTGTGGATAAGTAATGCTTCTTTTTCCTAAATCCACACATTGCAACCTTTAAAATTCAATCCCATTTGTAAACATTTAATATAAGTATTCAATGATTTCCAATCATAATTCCAACAATTCGCATAGCCCATTTGTGACGCTGTTCACTTAATTCGAAATTTCAAGAAAATAAAAAAGCTAGCAAAAAACTTATGAATGAAAATGTGAGGAAAACATAAAAACAACATATTTATAATTTCCGTTTAATGATGGTTTTTGTTGTTGTTATTGTTGTCGTTTCGTGCCAATAAGTTTTCTTAAACGAAATGTTTCTTTTGGTTAAAACACTGGTAAATACAGCAACAAAAAAAGAGGCTCGCGCGCCATCTGTGCTACCTAACATTAACCATAGTCAGGGTATTAGGGAGCCAAGAGGAGGTTTTTTTAACCACATGCCTTTCAGAAGATTAATCATTATTGACGGAGGGGAATAAGCTATTGGTTACAAGTGCCAGTGAGTGGCTTAAGCCCCTCCTGTAAGACTTAACGTTGGACAAAGAAAAAAATTGCTAGAAAAAACTTCGTCTTTGGACAGCAAAAACGTTTCTCTTTATTGAAACACCATACAAATATTTCAAACGTTTTCAATGAAATTGAAAGTTTTTTTTTGTAACGTCAAGAAACCCCAAAAGTTATTTGGCCATTGGTCAAAATGTTTGTTAGTTAGGTGGTCGTGGCTTGGTTAGCCGGTCTGTCTGTTAGCCTGCCTGCCTGCTTGGGCTGTTGTCGTTGACTTCGGTTGTGGTTGATGTCTGTTTGCCTGCGGCAAAGGCGAATTATAAATTCATTGCAAATGTGATTATTGTATTTCTATAACAAATTGCTAACAAATAACATATCAATTATTCATTTTAGCATTTGTTGATTGTTTTCGTTGAAGTTGTGTGGCGATAGCCTTAAAGGCTTTTTCATGGCAAGCGTCATTTTTGAAGTTGAAGCATTTCTGAAAAACACAATTTTTCAATCTTCCATCTTCCTCTTTGTGGGGAGTGAGTGTGATGGAAAG